ATTTTTCTCAAGTAAATTAGAAAACCTTCCACTTTGTCAAGTAGAAACATTGGCACGGTCTGTTCGAAAACTTTTTCCGCAAATGGGCTCGAACCAGAGATTTCTTGTGTAAAAATGGTATCAATATGCCAGCTACTGCTAGCAAAAAAAATCGACATCAATCCGAAAATAACCAATTTGTTCAAGAAAATTCTCTCAACATTATGATAACAAAAGAACTCTACTGAAATTTGGGAATTGGAATTTTTTGTGTATCGCTACGCGCCGGGTCGTCTGAGGTAACAGCGAGAAAAAGTGCCAACCGGTCGAGTGACATTGTTACCACGTGTTCAACCAGAGCTGCATTGATAAGAAAATATTGGCTGCCCTCCTATGAAATGAGGTCCTATGTTTGTATGAAGTCCTCAAAGGCACACGCTTATGACTGTGTTTATTTAGGTGAAGCCTGCTTTTGAAGAATTCTGTCTTCCTTCGAAGAAATGGGCGGATGTTATAATTCCAAGAGGTGGTGAAAACGATGTGGCGATCGATCTATTGGTTCAACACATCCAGGCAATCACCTTTTAACCTCTTTTCAATACTTTTCAGACTAGTGAACACTATTTTAGGATTTGCTAAGAACGCCACGCGGAAGTCCGGAACGCACGAAAACATTTGACGAAATTGGCGATGCCAAGTTCAAAATATATGGACTCCATTAAGCATTTACTGAAATGCATGTTGTTGTTGTGCTAAAAATTGGATTCGCAAATTTCTTTCCTTGTACTTGTTGTTCTTTTACGGTTCGTAGTTGAATGTGCTTTCGTTCTAACAAGTTTTCGGAATTTCAATTACATGAAAGAATATGTATAATTGAAACTGAGTAAGGCATTCTGCTGGGAACAACCCAGTAAATTTTATTACATGAGTCGTGTGAAGGGATACAAATGAAGCGTTTTTTTGGAGTCTTCGTAGTAATGTAAGCCCCAAGTGCCCCAAATACGGCGTAGTCACAGTATTTGCTGAAGTTGCGTTTTTGGAGTCATAGTTTAGCACACTACTTTGGTTACTTTGAAACGAAAGATTTAATGGATGCTGACGAAAACCCATGAAACCCCGATTTTATAAAACAAATTGTTCTTACCCTTGTTTCAAAACCCCTTGTGAAAGGACGTGTGTTCTTGCAGATGCCTTACTCAGTTCTAAAATGGTTGCATTTTGCTATTTAATCCGCGATATCTGTCTGTAGTTAAGGGCTTTGCATTGTTTTTTACTAGTCTTTCCTGAAATCCCTTTCGTTTTTTCCTATAATCCGTTTCACCGTGTCTTTATTTATTCCTTTCTGTCGGCAGCTCTTTCAAAACTACATTGTTGTTTTCATTTTGATAAATTTGTAAATTTCAGGAATTTCGCAGAATTTCGTTGAAAACTTGAATGTTGAAGGAAACCCATTCAGGAATCAAGGGTACATGTACTCATTATCAATGGTACGAGAATTAGCAGAAAGCTATGACCAAGGCCCAGAACTCGAAGGATGGGTTCCTTCCTTGCCCGTTGATTTCCGCACTAATACGGCCCTTATCGGTGCTGCCCTCTTCAACACTAATGCTCTCTGCTTACACGCTAAAGGGTCAGCCAGCGAGAAAGGCACCGCGCCGACAGCGCAGCGGGGGCCGTAATAACTTCGTATAGCATATCCTCTGCTGGTAAAATTGTGTTTGTCCGGTCTCTTGGAGGTTCCGCCTGCCTTTCCACCAGTAGGTTTTCCCTTCTTCTACCTTCGGCTTCATCGTGAAATCCTGGCTTACTGGAATCGTGGCTTCCTCCTCCCTCCTTCCTCCCTACATTTATTCCATTTATTTTGCATATCACAAGCAAATGCTGTTTATCCAAGAAGATGGATAATGGAATCTTTAAGCCGCCGGCTTCAAATAGTCCCTTTTTGGTTGCGCCACGCACTCAACTCCCATTCACGATCACGGTATCGATGAAATACGATGCGAGCAACAATGCTGCGAGGGCCAGCCGACGTCGAAGAAAATGTTTTTATCCTTCCAGACTGGTCTGTACCGACTATCTGGTCTTGGAGGAAGGGAAGGCCTTGTGGCGCCTCCATTCAGGACTTCACCTTGTGCCATGCGAGTGATCAGCGCAGCCACTTGCCGCTACCCTGAACCCTCTTTCTTTCTAGAAGAATAAACAAGCAAATGCGGTCAAGCAAGGGCTCTACCTTTCAGCCATCTGGTACGTTCAGATCAAAACAATGCTGCAAAATCCGGCGAGAATGCGCCATGCGCTCTTCAGCAGTGAATTCCGCATTTTCTACGTGTTTATGCAACTTGGACAGATTAACAGATGGCGTTCACTTCGAAGGGGCTGTCTTTGAAGTAAGGCTTAGTTATAAAGAGCAGCAAATAGGTGGGTTGTGCTTTAGAGGCAGAATTTACGATGAAAAGTTAGCTCATTGGAAATAAGGGTAGAGGTGGTCAGTGGAGCAGGGATGAAGAAGAAACCATTGAAACGGCCCGAAACCCGAGAAATGGGACCCCTTCCTTGCCCGTTGATTTGCGCATTGATGCGACTCTCATCGCTGTGCCCTCTTCAACAACGGTTCTCTGCTTTAATCGCTCACCACAAATAAATCTGTGGCGTGTGAAAAAATATCCGATGGGTGTACCCTGCCAACCGCGTCAAGAGTAAGCCATGCTAGATCGTCTAGAGCGAATCTTTTGCTGCCAACTGCGCGTCGGCGGCACTCGCACAAGAATCTAACTTCAGCATCCTGCAGATGGGCTACCGTAACCCTGACGTGACATGCGTGCTCGCCGCAACCGCATACTTCACACTCAGCTCGACGTCGCCCCCAGGATTTCGTGATAGCAAATACCAATGTGCTAATTTACCCAATCTTACTCTCCCTCGTTAACGCTCTGACGACAATGCAGATTTGCACGTAACGGGCTCATGGGACCACGCCTCGTTTTGGCGCGCCCAATCTCGGCCAACATCGGGCAGAATTGACCCTAAAGGCAGTTTTTCTATCTGATTTTTGACTTTAGCAGTATACAAATATAAATACAGATTTGAGCTTTCATATTATAAATTGTTGGGAAGCGAACTGATTGTTTGGAAGGGGGACTCGAACTTCAAAGGAATGGAGGGTAAAAACTCGAGAACTTCATATTTACAATAGAATTTTTGATACATTCAAACCCCTCCTTGTACCCGAACACCATGATAAGGCGAAGAAATCCCCATCAGTAATTAATCTTCAGTTTAGTAATGCAAAACCTCAATTGAAGGCCGC